CTAAGAGAATTGATTATCACATAATTATGTATAATCAAGATGCATAACTGCATGTAGAATAATTTAACACATAGGTAAAACATATTGCGTATATAATACATAGGTACTGAGACTAATTCAAACACATCAAAATGCAAAACTGGTTTAATGTGTTTTGTACAATGGAAAACCTGCAGCCATTAGCTGGTAAGAATGATGGTGGAGATAAAATCTGTTGACATGAAGCAGGGATGCAGTGACACACTTGTAATCTCTGCATTTTGGGAGACTGAGGCGGAGGATCGCTTGAGCCCAGGAATTCCAGACCAGCCTGGGCAACATGGCAAAACCCTATCTCTACAAAAAATACAAAAAATTAGCTAGGCATGGTGATGTGTGCCTGTAGTCCCAGCTACTTGGGAGCTTGAGGTGGAAGGATCACCTGAGCCTGCAGTAGCTGTGATTAAGCCACTAAGCGACAACGTGAGACCCTGTCTCAAAAAGAGAAAATGTTTGTTTACATGAAATAATGTCAATGACGTATGGAGATTTTAAAAAGTAAGAAACGAGGGGAAAAAAGAGCAGCTTATAAACAATATGTGTCTTATAATCACATTTTACTTTAAAATATTCCATTTCTTTATATATATCTATATGTCTGTCTATGTCTGTACTTATAGAGAAAGAAAACCTAGAAGTAGAGTCACCAAAGGGTTAATAATCATTATCTACGGTGATGGGGTGGAGCGTAATTTTTCTATTTTTCTTCCTTCATAGACTGTGAGCAGAATAGTTATATGATCATAGTTATATTCTATCTATAATTTATTAATCATCTATTATGTGTCAAGCCCTTTATGATGTTCTGATCTCCTAGAGCTTGTGTTTTATGACTGGATATATCAGCTGGCATTCTAACTATAGTTGCAAACAACAGAAACCATGCTGCCTAATTTAAGTAGGAATGTGATTTATTAAAGGACGGTTCTCCTGGGAATTGTTCCCCAGAATTGTTGGGAGAGCTGGAGAAACAGATTCAAGGCTAAGCTTTCATGAGCAACGCCCCAAATCACATCACAGAACTGACCTGATGAGGTAGCCACCTTTACTGCCGCTGCCGCTGCCAAGCAGGAAATGAAAGGAATCGACTAGTGTGGCTCCTACTGCTCCAGCACTGGAGCTACTTCTGAGCCAACGACTTGCATTTGTAACCCCTGCCGCTCCTGAAAGCTGAACTCATCAGCTGCTACCTGCATCTGCAAAGATGGAGGCTGCATGCATATGTGAGACCCTGTGTGCGGACAGATGGCTGCTAGAGTCTGGGTCACATGCCTGCCTCCGAGCTGCCGAAGTGGCTGGAAATTTGGGTTCTGAATTCTGCATTGATGAGGCTGAATTCATAATGTGGGAATTTCCCTCAGTAGAGAAGGTTATTTAAATGATAAGTAGCCAGGCGTGGTGGTTCATGCCTGTAATTCCAGCACTTTGGGAGGCCCAGGGCGGCGGATCATGAGGTCAGGAGTTCAAGACCAGCCTGACCGACCTGGTGAAACCCCATCTCTACTAAAAATACAAAAAAAATTAGCCGGGCATGGTGGATGGCACCTGGAATCCCAGCTACTCAGGGGGCTGAGGCAGGAGAATCGCTTGAACTCAGGAGGTAGAGGTTGCAGTGAGCCAAGATCACGCCATTGCACTCCAGACTGGGCAACAGAGACTCCATCTCAAAAAAAAAAAAAAAAATTATAAGGACAACAAGAAACCTGACAAAAGTACTTGTAGGTTATTGACAGCAGTCAGGATTTGTTTTGAATACATGTAAAGGAAATCCAATGCAAAGTAGGTTAAGGAAAAGGGGGAATGAATGGGCTCAGTTGGTACTGGCCCCTGTCATAACTGGATCCAGGGACTCAAATGATGTCATCAGGTATCAATCTCTTTCTGTCCTCAGGTTCTTTTGAGTGGATAGCTTAATGGAGCCTTGGCAGCCTCACATACCAATACAATTTCATTAGCAGAAATAGATAATTTCCCCAGGGCTTAGACAAAAAAGCCTCTGTAAAGAGACTTTGATAGGTTCAGTGTGGTCACATGCCTATCCTTGACCCACTCATGTACTGGGGAACCTGGGGCATATCCCTGGGGTGTGATGGTGTCAACTCCACTCCTGAAATATGGAATTGGTTCCCCACAGAAAAAAAGACATATCCTGGCTCCAGCACATACTAATTGTGTCATCTTGGACAAGTCACAATTTCTCTGAGCCTCAGTTTTCTCATCAGTAAAATGGGAGTAATAAGAGTGTGACTTCATAGGGTTTTTAAAACACGATTAATATAAAGTTTGAAAGAATTTATATTTGTAAAGCACAGAAAAAATGTCTGTCATGGTATACAAGTGTTTACTACTGTAATTATATTCTGTTAGTCAGAAGAAGGGAGAAGTGACAGGTAAGGGAGACACATATTTCTACTGCACCCTAGATCAGGCAGTTGAAAATGTGAGTCTGGAATTTTAAAAGAGATCTTGGCTAGAGTCTGCAGAATGGATAAGAGAGTGGAGTACATGACCCCTCAAGGGAGAAAGTATGGAGAGGGAAGAAGATGAATAGGGTGGAACATAACCAACTCCATAAGTGGATGAAATTTACAATACTGATGTTTTTCACATCATACCCCATTCAATGGAAATTCAACTTGGCAGTTTTAAACATGCACTTTTGACTGTGTCACATTCCCACCATGAGTCTAAGTTGTTTCTTGAGATTCTTCTGAACTCTGTACACTTTAAGGATTTAAAAAAAAATAACAGATTATTTGACCACATTAAAATTAAATAGTTCAAATAGGGCAAACTATAGATAAAGTTAACAGGTTCATGACAGACTGGAAATAAATGTAATATGCGATTAATTGATTGGGATTAGTATCTAGAATATGAGGAACTCCAAAAGTTAAAAAAAAAAAAAAAACAGTAAAGGATGTGGATGGGAATAGAGAATGATCAATTCCTTATCACAGAGACACCCACAAAGTGGTCCATAATGCAATCTGTACATGGATGTTTCTAAATGCGATGTAATAGCATAAATTTGTGTACAACCTAGCTATTTATCAGTAAGGTCATAGATACTGTAAAATACTGCACAGTAAGGGAAACTCTTTGAATGTTAGATGTGCAAACAGCAACATGAACAGATCCTAAAACCACAGTGTTAGGTAAAAAAGAAAAAAAGAAAAAGAAACAAAATGAGATCTTGAAGTCAATACTTCTTGGTACATTAGAAATACAATATGCATAAAATAACACAAAGGATTTAGCAAGGATACAGGCATGTTTAAAAATATAAGCATATTAAAGTAGATGACTTGGGGGAGAAAGGAGAGAACTGAAAAGAAAATAAATGAAAAAAGTCTTTCTTTCTATTATTGCCTCAAAGAGAGTGTACATGTGAGACTTTGTCAGGTCTCAACATATCTAGAGGCTGAAAATTTGGGTGAAGCAATGTGTTTTTTTTAGTAGAGAATAATTTCATATCTGTGAAACCTGGAAACTCTTTCACATTTTGTATGCAATTAATTAGCACATCCCTTTTTCCTTCCTTCAAATTATATACAAAATCTACCTACACCTTTCCACCTCCACTGCTACCACCTTGGCTCAATTGGTGGTCTTCTGTTGCCTTGTCTAGTGTAATTATCTTCTAAGAAGTTTTCCTGCCAAGATGCGCCACCAGCTCTCCCATTCCCAAACAAATCGCCAAATCAAAGCCAAAGTAATATTTTAAATACCTAGTTGGGATGATATCACTGTTTCAACTAAAAAGCCACCAGTGGTTTTCTATCTAACAGAATAAAACCCTCGAAGATGTATGTCTGTCACTGCCCCCCGTCTCTAGCACACCTCTTAAGATCTCAAATCCTACCTCAGGGCCTTTGCCCTTGCCGTTTGTTTTCTGTCTGGAACCTGGATCCCTTCTTCTTATCAGAGAAGACTTCCCTGATCACTCTCTAAAATAGTAAAGGTGTTCAGGAAATGCCACCCCCAAATATGTCACTTTGGACTTCAAACTCAGGGCACTTAGGGAACAGCAAATGCCTTGAGGGGCTTTTCTCTGAACTTTCTTTATCTTCCTAAAGACAGATACTTCAAAAAGATCTCAGTTGTCATGAATCCCGTCCCCGGGAATCTCATCAACCAGGGAAGATTCAACTCACCTCCCAGGAGAGGAGACTGGGGATTGACCCCACACCCAGACAGACTTCATCACAGGATACCACCTGTTCTTCTAAGAGCCTGTTCATCTTTTCCAGAAATTATCTCCTCTCCCCTAAGTTGCCTACGTCCCCAACCTGTCTCCTCTGTGAAGAGGGTATATAACAAAAAATCAGCTGGGCCTGGTGGCGCGTGCCTGTGATCCCAGCTACTCAGGAGGCTGAGGCAGGAGAATTGCCTGAGCCCAGGAGGCGGAGGTTGCAGTGAGCCGAGATCACGCCATTGCACTCCAGCCTGGGTAACAAGAGCAAAGCTCCGTCTAAAAAAAAAAAAAAAAAGAGGGTATATAAGCTTTTACCTCTCAGTGGGTTGGTAGATAATCAGTGTTTTTCCCTGTGATGCCCCCATGCACATGATACATCTTTATTCTTTTTTCTTGTTAATCTGCCTAGTGTCAATTATGTCAGACTCAATTACCAAACCCTTAAAAGCTAGAGGGAAAGTTTACCCTTCCTTAAGACAACAAATTCCCGTTTCTCCACCCAGATTGATTCCTCTTATCCTGTTTTATTTTCCTTCATGGCATTTATTTGTTACCAGATACCTCTATCCCATTAGAAAGTAAGTACCTTGAGGATAGGAATGTCTTTCGGTGTCTACTCAATTTTCAGTGCACTCAGTAATACTAGTTGAGAGGATAAAACAATGAATGAATGAATGAATGAATCAAGGAGAAAGAGAGAGACATAAGACAAGCAGACAGAGAAAGAAAGAAGATAGGAACACTCTGGTGGACCCACCACACTTGAAGATTTTTCTGTGAAGTAGAAACGATTCTTGTGACAAATCTTTCATCCTTCTCATTCCCTTGCAGACTTCCTCCCCTGACTTTCCCTCAGGTTTGATGATTGACCACGTAGCAACTGTAATATGGGACGGAGGCATATTCTGACTCTGCTCAGAGAGGGCCACTTCCTTGTGATATGGGTGACATTTTGACTTATTCCTCTGTAAGTGATTTTTTTCTGTACATGTGCACTCCTACATGCTCCTATCTACCTTAGAAAAAGGAAAAATGGGATTTATAAAAATGACACTTTATGAGATTGCCATTTTCCTCTGTGATATTATTCCCCCAAACACATAACTTGAGTGTAATTATGAGAAAAATATTAGACAAATTCCAGTTGAGGGATGTTCTACAAAATATCTGACCAGTAGTCTTTAAAACTGTCAAAGTCATGGCAAATGGGGAAAACTTAAGAACTGTCACAATCAAGAGTAGCTAAAAGAGACTTGAGCTCTAAATCTAATGTGAGATGCTGGATGGGATCCTTGAACAGAAAAAAGATATTAAGGGAAGAATTAGAAAACTTGAAAAAGTGAGGACTTTAGTTAATGACATATCAATTTGGTTCCCTAATTATAAGCAATGTGCTGCACTAATGTATAGTGCTAATCCTAGGGGAAACTGTAGGGTGGGGGTAGCATATGGGAACGCTTTCTATACCATCTTCACACTTTTTCTGTACATCTAATGATGTTCTAAAATAAAAAGATTATTTTAAAAAGTTGCTATTCCTCAAATTTGTTAGTGCTCTACATAGCAGGGAAAAGGAATTGCTTCTGGAGATATGTCATGTTTAGTGAAACATTTCATCACAATTCAGTACCCCCCTTCCCTTTCCCGTTACTTATAAGCAAGGCAGGTAGATAAAGCCTGTCATCTCTCATGAAGGAAATCCCTTAGTTGTTTAATTAGCTGAGTATCAGATATAGCCTGAGGATTTACATGTTTTGCCATGTTTAGGTTTCAGCCTGGAGTTCAGTCCTGTTATTTTAAGATTCTTGGCCATTAACTGCAAAGGGGAAGTGAAAAACACCTCCGTTTTTATAACAGAACGTGTTTTAACAAAAATAATTTACATGAACATGAGCCAAGGGACAAGCCTAGGAGGTCAGCCGTCCTGTGCAGAGAAACGTCTACATGGCATTTCCTTATTTTAAGAAAATCTTTTTATATAGACTATTTAAAGAAGGATAGTTTCCCTCTCATTTCCTCCTCTAAAAAATAATATACTTGAACACTGGATCAGGCCTATTTTTAAGGGGCCACTGATAGAAATGAATTGCTCTTGGCGTTCAACTCTGAGGTCTGCCTTCCCCAAGTTCTTCTCCAGCCCACATGCTTTTTTCTTTTTTTTTTTTCCTTGGTGGGTGAATTCTATTAGGGTTTTCAAGTACTCTCTATTTAAGAAGGCAAATACCTTTAGGAAGCTTCAAGGGTTATTAATAAAATAATAATTAAAGTAAGAGCTATAAGCCAGACAATTTACATGTAAAAAAATGGAGGCCAGGATGCCTAATTTTTAAGGAGGTCATGAGAGTACAAGGAAAATTGCATGAATTCAAGAAAAGGCAATGCTAATTAAGACCAATGGAAAATGGCTGCTTATTATGAAAAACAAATGGGAAGATGTATTTCTTGGGAGTACGAGCTTCAAGAAGTAAGGAAATTGACTTATTAGAAGAAGCTGCAGATTTACATTGCAAAAGGAGAATATACAGAAATAGCAAAAATTAGGCCTATTTTGTAATAAGTCTACCACAGATATAGTAAATAATGTGCTAGCATATATTCTGTAAGTATACGTTCTGTATATACACATATATGTTCTACATACACATTGCATGTCAGATCATACTGGGTGCTAGATCTTTCTCTCATGAAAGCATAAAGCAAATGTTATAAAAGCAACGCCCCTGCACTCATCACACAATTTAAGTGAGATTCCATCATCCTTTCACTGGTGGTCATCACTATTCTAAATTTTTTTTTTCCCATTTATTTATTTTATTGCATTTTAGGTTTTGGGGTACATGTGAAGAACAATTTTAAAGTTATTTGTTCCTGTTTTCTTTACAGTTACTATCACACACAAATATATCTCTGAACAATATATTTTCAGTTTTGCTTTATTTTTGAATTTATATAAATGGAATTAGACTGAATAACTATTCCTGTGATTTTTTGAGCTCAAGGGTAAAAGCATTTATGTTATATTATAACAAGATGTTTTAAAATGCTCATGTTTACGACTTTTAAAAATGATTTTCTTATCAGTTCCACATTTACTTACTTAATAATCAGAAAAGATGGCCTATATGGTACTCATTTTTTGAAATTGTTGATATGTTCTTTATTGTCTTTTATGGAGCTAATTTTCATAAATGTTTCCTAAGAGCTTGAAAAAAAAACTCAAATTCTTTAAATGTTGAAGGCAGCGCTGTATGTAGGTCCATTAGATCATGCTTGTGAATTATGCTACTCGAATGTTGTATTGACTTTCTAAACTTTCTTGTCTGCTTGATCTATCAACGATTAAAATAAATAGATATGTAAAACTTTTCCAATATGGTTGCAGTTTTATCATTTTCTTCTTGTGGTTCTATCAATTTCTGCTTTATATATTTTGAAGCTGTATTATTAGGACCATATAAGTTTAGAACCATTGTCTTTTCTTAATTAAATTACACTTTATTATCATGTAATCTCCAGTAATAAATTTTGCTTTAAAGGCTACTTTATGAACATTAATGTGACTAAACCAGATTTTTAAAAATTAGTATTTACCTGGAACATTTTTTTCTACCTTCAGCATTTCTCTTTTGTTATGTTCTAGCTATGCCTCTGTGAAAAGTCTAAGATAATCTTATTTTTAAAGTTAATCTGATCATCTTTGCCTTTTAACTAGAATGTATAATTAATTATTTAACATAATTAATTTTATTTTGAAAGGTATTACTACCACTATATTCTGTGCTTCCTCATGGTTCTGCTTTTTCTTTTCCTTTTGTTTCTTCCCTTTTGTCCTCTTTGAATTAATTGAGTTGCCTTTTTATTTTTTCAGTTTTCCCCTATTCTAGTTGGAAATATATGCTTCATTTTAGGATTATTCCAAAGTTTGTTGTTATCAACTTAGTAATATTGAAAGTTAATTAATATCTTTATCTCCTCCGAAAAACAAAAAGACCTTAGAATGCTTTAAGCCAATTTGCTTCTCTGACATATATGGTGCATTTGTCAAGGCTCTCCAGAGAAGCAAAGCTAGTAGAATATTTAGATCTAGTGCTCGCTTCAGCAGCACATATACTAAAATTGGAAAGATACAGAGAAGATTAGCATGGCCCCTGCACAAGGATGACACGCAAATTCGTGAAGCGTTCCATATTTTTTAAAATCAAGAAAGAAGAAAAAAAAATATTTAGATCTAGATTTAGATCTAGATATATAGATAAACAGATGAGAGAGGATTTATTATAGGAACTGGCTGTGGCAATTATAGAGGTTGAGAAGTACCATAATCAGCCGTCTGCAAACTGGAGAACCGAAAATGCTGGTAGTGTGGCTCAGTCTAAGCCTGAAGTCCGGAGAATCAGAGGAGCCAGTGGTGTAATTCTCAGTTCAAAGCTGAAGGTCTGAGAAACTGGGGGCCTGCTGGTGTAAGTCCTGGATTCTGCAGGCCAGAGGACATGGGCTTCTGATGTCCAAGGGCAAGAGAAGGTGGCTATCCCAGCTCCAGAAGAGAGAGCAAATTCACCTTTCCTCTGCGCTTTTATCCTCAATGCATTGGATGGTGCCTCCCCACCATGGGTGAGGGCAGACCTTCCCTATTGGATCCACTGATTCAAATGCGTCTCTTCCAAAAACACTGTCACCAACACACCCAGAAATAATGAAATAATGTTTTACCAGCTATCTGGGCATAACTTAATCCAGAGCATTCTTTTCTTTGAACATTCTTGTCTTTCAGGCCTTGAAAAATGTACCAGTTCCATTTGGCCTCTGTAGTTTGGATGAGAAATTAACTGTAATTTTTTATTTTTCCCTTACAGTAAGGTGTCACTTATCTCTTGCTGTTTTATGATTTTTTTTCATTGTCTTTTGTTTTCAGGAGTTTGACTATGATATGTCTTGGTGTGATTGCTTTGAGTTTATCCTTTTTGGATATTAAATATGTAGCTTTCTGCTTTTTGCCTCATTGACAACTAAAACTAGCCATCACAAATGGTATTCATGATCAATATTTTAATTCTACTTTTTCTGTAGAATTAATCAAATTTACATTTTACTTTTAATTTAGGAATACATAAAGATGATTCAAAATTTTAAAACTGTTGAAAGATACTGTGAAGAGTCTTGCCATTCCAGCTACCCAATTTTCTTATCTGGAGGCCACCAATGTTAGTTTCCAACGTATCATTACAGAGATTTCTTAGGTAGATGAACGTATCTTTTTATGCAATTTTATTCTGTTCTTTTTTCCTTTCCTAATGTTCCAAGATGTTCTTTTATTATTATTTTCTTTCTATTTAGAGAACTTCCTTTAAACCATTATTTTATAGTAGGTCTGCTGGTGACGCTATCTCTTTGTTTCACTTCATTTGTGAATATCTTGATTTCACGTTCATATTTTCACAGGTAATTTTTGGTTGAGCATTCTTTTCTTTCAGGTCTTGAAAAATGTGCCAGTTCCATTTGGCCTCCATAGTTTGGATGAGAAATTAGCTGTAATTTTTAATTTTTCCTTTATAGTAAGGTGTCACTTATCTCTTGCTGCTTTATGATTTTTTTCATTGTCTTTTGTTTTCAGGAGTTTGACTATGATATGTCTTGGTGTGATTTCTTTGAGTTTATCCTTTTTGGATATTAAATATGTAGCTTTCTGCTTTTTGCCTCATTTGGGAAATTTTTAGCCATTATTTATTTGAATATTTTCCAGCCCCACTCTCTTTCTCACCTTCTGGGATTTCTATAACACAAATCCTACATCTTTTTCTATAATCCCACATGTTCTGGGGCTTTGTTCTTTTTTATTCTTTCAGTCTAATTTTTCTTCATTGTTTAGATTAAGCAATTGCTACTTGTATATCTTTAAGTGTGCTTTTTTGTTAATCTACATTTTTGACATTCTCAGATTGCCAGTGTTTTCAGCATCCACTTTGGGAT